AAATGCATTCGGGGAAGTTTTTCATTTAATGGCAAATATAAACATGAAAAAAACTCGCCAAAATCGCATGCGACAAGACAGGAATTTTAAATCATGCGAATGCGAAATGACAAAACATTTTCATTTTCATACAGATTGAGGAATTTTGTGGCAATCCAACCACCCAACCATTCACCATATCTTCCTCCGGTTGCTCGGTTTCGCATTGTCTCGCTTGCGGTGGGGGCGTCGATAATGCTGTTTATAAATTTTCTGCGGCGGCTGCCAATATGCAACGGAAATTGCCAGCACAGCGCCACACGACTTCAATATGCAGAAGAGAACCCCTCTGGATCTGGTATCTAGAGCTTCGAAGCTGATGTTTTTTTTTATGGCCAACTGTAGCAAGGGTGTTGGCCTGGGGCGTGTGCCTGCTGCGGGGGAGGATTAGCTGAAGGATGTTATTCTGCTGCTCGTCGTCCTTGTCAATGCATTTCGTCTTTTGATAATATCAAAAACTCATTTGCCTCGAGAGGTTCCACCAACCCTGTGACTCCAGATGATTTATTATACTAAATGCTATGTCCCGCCGGTCCCTTACGCTGCATGCGTCATCAATTTTTAGAGATAGATTTGCATGGGCATCGTCAGCAGCGCCAGGCGCCAGGCGCCAGCGACATGGGCCATGGGCCATGGGCCATTAGGCGGAGAGCGTGTGGAGAGTCTGCTGCTGCAGCTGCCGCTGCCGCTGCAACCGCAAACATTTAATAGAAACAATTTCTGACCATAACATCGAGTAATTTTCTCTCTCTGCAATTCCTAAACAATTTAACAATGGCACGCAAAATATTAATTGAAAGCCACTTGCCAGTGAATATATCTCATGGATGCAACCACGAGAACTACGAGTACATGAACGCGCTTAACATAAATTAAAATTCCACCAACGCTCCCAATCCCCCCATCAAGGGCACCGCACTCAGCGTTTGGTATAAAAAAGAGAAAGAAAGGGTTAGCAAACAATTGAATAGCATATAATAGTTTTGTTTTGTTTTGTTCAGTTCTGTTTTGTTGCTGCTGCTCTTTTTTTTTTTTGCATTGCTGTTGGTGGTGGCCTGGCTGCAGATAAAACAATGAAATGTGAGAAATGTGCGGCCGCATGGAAAAATTAATTGTAATACATTAAAAGTGCAATTGCTGCTGCTGCTGCTGCTGACGCACAACAAAGCAATACACTTTATACAAATTGCAATGAAGAGTAATGAAAAAAGAACTCTGTTTCGCCTAACATATGTTCTGGTATTACGCTGGCGAGGGATAGTGCGGCCACCCACCCCCACTTATCTGCATGTGTGAATCACTCTGGTTAAATATTACTCATACCCCTAGCTGCCCCTAATACCTACTGTATCCCGATAACAGCTTAACAAGCATGGCATGATTCATTTAGATTCAGCTACTTGGTACCTTTTTGGAAGGGGGGACTCACAGCTGTACTTTCGGTGAATTTGGTCGATTAGTCAAGAGGAATTAAAACTAAACTTTCCCACAATTACATGCCAGCTTAAGCGCGGCCCAAAAATATTATTTAGGTGGAGCCAAACACACCACAGAAGTGCAACTCTCTCCTTTTTATATCAAAAACTAATTGATTTATTTGCTTATTGTTAAAACAATGCTAATAGAATATTTGGTTTACAAAATAATACTTTGTGTTCAATATCGGTTACCGCTTGTCGGTTGTTCTTGTTAATTGTTCTTAGCCCCGAATGTACAATAGCTTTGCAAAATATGCACGGAAATCACCAAAAAAGTTCGCTCGCTTACAACTATCGGGAGAGTTATACATATACATAAATATATATAGAGTGCAGTTGAGTTAGCAGTTAGGATGATAGGATATTTGATAGACTAAGTGAGGGCCGGTGCCCTGGCCTTCTTTCTGACTGTTGACTGTTGAGGCTGACTAGTTCTAGTTACTCTATTTAATATGCGTTATTCGTACTGATCGGTAAGCGTTTTCTTTGCGTGCTTCGGGCAAAGCGTTTTGCATCTTTGGCTTTGTGCGGTTTTACATTCATAGTTTTTTTTTGGCTACAAAAATACTCTTCACACCCCAAAAAAATGGGAACCCGCTTTGGGTGTGCGCCTGGGAATGAGTGTGTATATAGTATGCGATTGTATGTATAAATATATCATTTGGTTAATCTCATTTATAAAGCCACTTGGGGGCTGACATCACCAGCGGTTCGTATAGAACTGATTGATGCCCAGCACATGCTTCTCCTCATGGTACTTTTGCAGGATATGTGTGATGACCGAGGTGGTGTCGTTATCGCCGCGCCACACGCGTATTGCATGCTCATTCTCCAGTATGGCCAAAAATGCTATTAACAAACACAAAACATAAGAATTAGTGCACTCCACGTGGCAATAGGAATAATTTTACACACCCAAAAATGTCTTTGGATTGCTGAGCGTCATTTGGACCTGCGGCATTTCGAGTATGACTTTGAGGATGGGCGAATCCGGTGCAAGACCCTCGCGCAGCTCAATGACACTGCCCGAACGATTGTCGCAGAGCCACTCACAGGCGGAGGCTTTGTTGTTGCCTGTCCGCTTCAGCGCCGATACCACGGCGGCCTCCTCGAAGCCCATTTCGGTGAGCGATTCGACTATCTCCTCGCTGGGTGGCGAGTCGCGATGGCTGTAGATGCGCACAATTTCCATCAGCGCAGCGGTGTTCTCGATGGTTTCCTGCGGGCACGTGAAGTCAATTAATTATCTCGGTGGAACGGGTTCGCGTTCGATTCTTACGTTATTGGTGACAATGGCGGAGGGAGATATGGAGGACATGCTCTGCTGCATATTGATGGCCGGCTCCTGGAGAACATCCTCGTTTTGGTTCTGTATCAGCCACTCCAACGTGCTGGAATAGATGCCACTGTTGGCCTTGAGGGCAAACGCGGCCATCTCCCGCTTGAAGCCCATATCCACGAGACACTGCAGCGTGTCCGACTGATGGTTGCGTCGATTGATCAGCCGCTGCTTCAGCATGGCTATCAGGCGCGGGGCATACGGCCCAGCACCCAAAACGGCAGCCGAGGCCTGGGCCAAGGAGATCAGCACCTTGCGCACATCGTATTGAATCTGGAATGGCAATGGCAATGGCAATGGAGGTCAAAACTCTCCCCTAACAACTCCTCATAACACTCACATTCGACTGCTGAAAGATCTCGTTAATATCGATGGTGGGCAGCGAGTTGGCGTTGGTCTGCACATACCGCGTGGCGCTCTCCAGCAGCTGCTCATTGGGACCAGGCACCTCGCGTATGCGCGACACTGTCTGTGTGAGCGTGCTGCGCCTGGCCGACAGAATGAAGGTCTCGTTGTTGCGCACCTGCAGCTGGGCCAACGTCTCGGCCTCGTTCAGCTCTCCGCCAAAGTACTCGGCCCGATAGAGGCGGTAGCGTGGATTTAAATGCCGCACATCCGGGGCAAACAGTTGGATGGAGTCGGGATCGTCGCTCAGCTCCAGGATAACCTCGCTCTTTAGGTCATTAAGGCGCTTGTTAACGTTCGTCTTGAAGACCAGCACCCGCGAGCTGGGACATATGACGCGCACCGTAATGGAGTCGCCCGCCTTCAGAGGATCCTCCCCGTCTACGCCCGTGGACCCCGACGAGTCCACGCGGCTGGAATGGCATGTCTTCCTGCAAGATAGCGCAACGATTAGTGGCTGGAGATCACCCAGAGAGCAGCGAGACACACCTGAGGAACAAACTGCGCAGTTTTTGCATAGTTTGTGTGGGGAAATCCAACGGAGAATTTCGAAAAAATACAAAAAAGATTTCAATATATTGGTAATCGTTTTGGGTGAGACATTTAGGTGCCTGCCAACTTACGCATGTTCATGCTGCTGTGTTGGAGTGGGTGTGTCCAGTGGATCACCAGCGGCATTGCCAGTTTGTGTGGCTACCGCAGTGGCCTGCAGGTGCAGCTGCAGCTCCAGGTGCATGCGACGCCTGCGGGCCGGCGAGGGCGTGCGCAGGACGCAACTGCCACCACCCACAGTGGGTCGGCTGACCACGACAACGTCCGTCTGGGTCTCCGTCTCTGTCGTGTGCACATTTAGCGAGGCGGAGCTGAGGCTCTCTGCATCGCTGGCACTGCTTGCGGTGTGGACGCGACTGCTTCCCGGACTGTCGGCCGATGGCGTGGATGAGCGCTTACTTCTCGCCAGCCACTTTGCGCGTTTCTCGTTGAACTTTTCGCGCATCCAGGGAATCATGTTGGGTCGGCCATTAAGTGCGGTTCACATTTTGCATCAGTTTTCGGTCGAGTTGCAACATTTTCCAGGAAATAATAAACAGAATCGATGCGAAATTGCCGCAGCTGATTGCAGCGTTCCCAGTGTGTTGTATTTAGGTGGAGAGGTTGGCAACGCGAACGACATAACATATCGGATATACAATTGAAAAATATCGAGGAGTCGATAACAAACTATGTCCAAAAATGCAGCGATAACTAGCTTCGACTGGAATGCAGTGTTAATTGTTGGGAATTGGGTGTATAATTGTCGCCATAACCAGATCATTGGCGTAAGATTACGCTGCTGACAGTTGAGGAATATGAGATCCATCTGTATATTAAATACGTAAGTTAGGTATATTTCTGACGGTCAGGCGGTATTTTTATCGATTCATCAGCGGTCACACTGCTCACATTTTAATTACTAGCACCAGGGTGACCATTTAATTATATACTTTTGAGGATATTTGACTACGAAACTGAGTTCATTGTATATTTACGGTATATCGGTGGAGAATTGATTGATAAATCGGATAAAATTATAGTTTTAGTGCTGAGATTTGTAACTAGCTAGTAATATCCAAAATAACCTCCACATCAAGGAATATGATTGAAGATTACGGTATATTTACGGTGTATTTTTTCAATGAGAAGGTATGTTTTGGTATATATTTAAGGGTTTTGAGGTATATTTGATCGATAGCTCCGCGGTCACACTGCTCACATTTTAATTGTTAGAACGCGCAAATCAAAAGAAAAAAGGCAGCAGAAAATGTTTGGCGCACATTAAAAGCAAGCAAGTCGTGCCCCCTAATCGAGTATCGTGCCACCGCCACGCCACAAAAGTATCCCCCAGCAGTAGGCATATAGTGATCTTGTTGTTCTGCTCCCAACTACATGCGTGTGCGTCAGTTTGCTGTGCCTGCCAGAGAACGTCACGTAGCATAAAAAAACGCGAGAGGCCGCACACAGTGGTAAAAAGAGGTAAAAGAAAATAGTGCAAAGCGCAGAAGACAGAGGAGGCGATAGCAAAAGACACGAGAGCTGCAAAAAGTTTGCATACGCCGGACGCCAACCAAGACGCATGAATGGGCAACACTACTCGACGCGCCCGCTGCTGCCAAATTACAATAACATATATTGCCCATATGTACAGGAGGAGCGTCCCGTAGCCGGGATTCGATTAGCCTGAAGATTGACTGGGAGATTGAAGCCCACACAAGAAGATACGACGCAGCGCAGGTAAGATAAAAGAGATAAAAGTTTCACCCCCTCCCCTCTTATGTATTTTGTTTTTCGGCGTGTATGTATACGCTTGCCTGCCAGTGTGTAGGTGTGTGTGCGTGAGCTGGAGCGCGTGAGGTGCGCTCTGAATTTGCAAAGGAAATGTAGATGCGTTTGCATCTGATTTTGGTTTCTTTGTTTATGTTTGGCCATTACCACGATTAGTTGGCACTTTTGCACGCAGCCCGCACCCCACCACACATATCTTGCGCTAATTTATTTACGCATTTGTTTATGCCCCAAACGCAAGAAGAGAATGTGTTGGGGATAGAGAGAGAGAGAGAGAAGAGAGAGTGCGTTCCAGTGTGGCCAGCTGCCACTTGGCGTTCATTGTTTTGCTTTCTCACATAACGGTGCTGCTGGTGTGTGCGTACAAAATCTTATCGCAGTTTCGTCAGCACAAAAGCAAATTGCAATTTTCTGTTAAACTTTTATTTTGCACTGCTTTCAGCATTTTATTTAGCGCAGAACAGTCACAGGATTAAGCAGACGAAGAAGTAAACAAAGTGGAAGACGAGCAAGAAGCTGGACAAAGCAAGTGGCAACAGATACAATTCCATTTTTTGGGCAGCAACACGAGCAACTTAATTATACTACATTACATACATTTTAAGCCTAGATAGGTGAGATTACCAACCGCCACAAGTGCCTCAGAGCATCAACTAATCCCCCAACTACCCCCAGTACCTATATTTTAAGCTCAACTTTATACAAAATGTGGAATTCCGAACCAACACATCGCCAGAATCAGCAGCACCAGCAGCAGCAGCAGCAGCATTACCAGCAGCATCAACACAATGGCAATTCTACCTCGGGGGGCGGCCAGCCCGCCAAACAGTTGGGCATGACGTCGGCCATTAGCTTGGCTGAGCCGAAGCCGGCGGATCTGCAGCGGACGGAGAACCTTCGCGCCTCCCTGGAGCCGTTCAACGTGTTCGAGAGCCAGGATGAGCTGAACCATCGCATGGAGATCCTGGCCAAGCTCAATACACTGGTCAAGCAGTGGGTGAAGGAGATATCCGTCAGCAAGAACATGCCCGAGTCGGCTGCCGAGAAGCTGGGCGGCAAGATCTACACCTTCGGGTCGTATCGCCTCGGTGTGCACCACAAGGGAGCCGATATCGATGCCCTGTGCGTTGCACCACGCAACATTGAGCGCACCGACTACTTTCAGAGCTTCTTCGAGGTGCTAAAGAAGCAGCCGGAGGTCACCGAGTGTCGCTCCGTGGAAGAGGCCTTTGTGCCTGTCATCAAAATGAACTTTGATGGCATCGAAATTGATTTGCTGTTTGCGCGACTCTCGCTCAAAGAGATACCCGACGACTTTGATCTGCGCGATGATAATTTGCTTCGGAATCTGGATCATCGCTCGGTGCGCAGCCTCAACGGCTGCCGTGTGACGGACGAGATCCTGGCCCTGGTGCCCAACATAGAGAATTTTCGCCTAGCCTTGCGCACCATCAAGCTGTGGGCCAAGAGTAAGTGTTCCAGCAAGCCGCAGATATTGCAACAAACTAAATAATCATCTTTCCCGCAGAGCACGGCATCTATTCTAACTCGCTGGGCTACTTCGGTGGCGTCACCTGGGCCATGCTGGTGGCCCGCACTTGCCAGCTGTACCCGAATGCAACAGCTGCCACCCTGGTGCACAAGTTTTTCTTGGTATTTTCGCGCTGGAAGTGGCCCAATCCGGTGCTACTGAAGCACCCAGACAACGTGAATCTCAGATTTCAAGTATGTAAATAAGTTTCAGCTTACCCCAATCGTTCTAATCGATTTATTTGTTGCTTTTGCGGTTTGTTTAGGTCTGGGATCCGCGTGTCAATGCTTCGGATCGTTATCATCTGATGCCAATTATAACGCCTGCGTATCCACAACAGAATTCCACATTTAATGTGTCCGAATCCACCAAGAAGGTCATGCTAACCGAGTTCACACGCGGCATGAACATTACGGACGAGATCATGCTTGGACGCGCCTCCTGGGAGCGCCTCTTTGAGGCGCCCAGCTTCTTTTACAGATATCGGCACTTTATAGTGCTGTTGGTAAACTCGCAGACGGCCGATGACCACCTGGAGTGGTGCGGACTTGTAGAGTCCAAGGTGCGGCTGCTCATTGGCAACTTGGAGCGAAATCCTCATATTGCTCTGGCGCACGTCAACCCAAAGTGCTTTGAGCTGAAGAAGGGGGAGAGCGCCAACAATTCGCAGAACAACAGCGGCAACGAGGACGACCAAAAGCAGCAGCAGCAGCCGCCGCCGACCAACCAGGCCACAGTATCAGCGTCGCCATTCTGCTCCATGTGGTTCATTGGTCTGGAGTTTGAGCGTTCGGAGAACCTCAACGTGGACCTCACAGAAAGCATACAGAATTTCACAGAGCACGTGATCATGCATGGCGTAAGTAGAGTGGAAATCGAAGACATCTTTTGTGTGGTGTTTAATCGATTTTTTGTTTCGTTTTTTCAGGTCAACATCAAGATGCTCAAAGAGGGCATGGCCATCGATGCGCGGCATGTGAAGCGCAAGCAGCTCACTGTCTACTTGGACGCTGACTTCCTCAAGCGTGAGCGCAAGTGCATGGAGAGCCACACGAGCTTCAACAACACGCTGCTAGCGAATCGCAAGCGACTCTCGACAGAGTTGGCCCAGTCGCAGGAAGCCCTGCCGCCGGGCAGTCAGACACAACAGCCAGCCAGTGGCAATCGTGGGCGGGAGAGTGGCGCCAAGATCCACAGGCTAAGTGAATCGGTGAGAACGAGAAACATTAATTGTAGATTTTATTTGATTAAATTGTTTGTTGCAGCTGACGGAGGATAATTCGAATGCATCGAGCGATTTGGGTGCCCAGACGCCCACGACACCCACAGGGACACAAATGAATGCGCCAAGTTTTGGCAAGACATCGGGCAAGAATGGCTCCGAGTTGGACAGCTCGGAGCAGGAGCAGCAGGCGCAATCGTCACCGCAGTCGCAGGCGCATAATAATGGAAACAACAGCACTGCCACAACGACGGAGGTGGCATGTTCGTGACAACCGCCAACGCTACATCCACCGCCGGCACAACAGCAGCCACCGCCGCCACCGCCACTGCCACTGCCGCCGCTACAGTCATCAGCTCACCATCATCATCATCAGCATCAGAAGTTTAGGAAGAACAACAATGCGGCTGCCGCGGCAGCCTCCAATAGTATTTTCAATCAGCGCTCGATACTGCATGCGGCATCAAGTCTATCGGCGGCTCTAAGCATAACCGGACACAACCGCAAACAGCAGACGGCGATGAAGCATTCAAACATACATTCGGCAACCACGATCAGCAGCAGCAGCGGCAGTACTCTCACCCACACCCACATCATACACAGCAACAACAATAGCAACGGTTTTGGCATCGGCGGCGGTGGCAGTGGCAGTGGCGTCGGCAATGACAGCAACAAGATCTGCTATTACATTGACGACGATGATGATGATGATGATGAGGACAACAAACAACCACAAACGCAGACACTGGCCAGAGCCATTCCCACAGTATCGGCAGGAGGAGCAACAGCAACTCCAACGGTAGCAGTTTCTGTAGCAGCCGCCCCAGCCGCTGCATCGGCCACGACAATTTCTTGTAAGTTGTTTCCATTGTTTGACTCCAATCTCCTCGCATTTACCGTGCATTTGCGTTACTTATTCCTACTTTCCTTGACACGAGACTGCTCTATGCTCTAATTGTTTGACTATTTCCTATTTTTAATTAACATAACCTTAAACAGTATTTCACTCTCCCCAACACCAATGAGGGGGAAAGATTTAAGCTTCAGTTTCTTTCAGTTTCTTAGCTGTAAAATCATTCAGAGACTGATGCACTGCAAATGATTGAATTCATTTTGATCAAAATAAACTTTTAAAAAAAGTAATTAAATGTTGAAAAACAAAAGAAAAAGCTACACTTTTTGGTATTTTTATTTTCAAACAAATTTATTATATTAATTACGGAAATTAATGTAGCCGTCGGGTTTGTTTATGTTTGTTCGGGAAACTTTAGATATTCTTGAGGTCAAATTCATCACAGGAATGTTAAAAGTGATTTCAGGGCTGTAAATTATCAGGGAGTTGGTTGATTTCAGCTTTAGTTTCATGTATAAACACTCCCGCCTAAGGGTTAAGCGATGTGCATATAAATTTCATAACACCAAGAACAGAATGTAAACCGATTCTGCGCTTCAATAAAATGTATTTAGCGAGGGAAAAAGTTATAATTATATTCAAATAGATAACATTTATGCATCTAATATACTAACTATCCCATTTAATGTCTCTTTGCAGTGTAAAAAGCTATTACACATACCATTTAAGGATTAGTTATCATAGTTATTCTCCCCCTCAATTGATTTTCTGGGCATTTGAGTGGGTGCCCCAAACGAAAGTGGAAGCCCAACACATTTTACACAAAGCGGTGAGTGGGTGCAGTTATAATTATGAAATGCAAAATGCCAAATGCTAATGCCAGTCTTTGTTGCCCCGTGCAGGTTTCGATCACACTTCACTTCAGAGTTTTGTTGAACATGATTCTGTCAACAAGCTAACGTTCCGTTCCGTTCCGTTCCATTCGGTTAACCAGTTATAAAATGAAACAAATGCATAAAGAAATCGAAAATCAATCGATTTTAGCGGCAGAGAACAATTTCGCTAGCGAATGTCCAAATAATAATACCTCTTGTACATCTTTTTTACTTCCCCACAGCTGGTTTGAGGAGTGCGTGTAGAGTTGAAGAGGAGTGGAGTGGAGCCAGCGGACATGGACGATGAACAACCAGAAGCAGGACAGCTGCAACATGAACCTATTGAATCAATTAAGAAGATTCTTTTATCATTTTTCCACCTTCTAGTTTTCAAACATTTGTTTCTTCTCCTTTCTAGTTGTACAACGCTGAAAATTTGAAACAATTATGTTCGTTTTTCTAAGAAAATGATATCTGAAAAAAGGTAATAATAACAAACAAAACCAACACAAAGAATTGCAAAATGAAATGAAAGATATTGATTTAATTTTACCAAATAAAACCAGAAAAAAACAAAAATATGCAGCGAAAGCTACAAAAAAATCAAAACAAAATGCAGTTGATTTTTATTTGACATTTTATTGGGGAAGGAGTATGGAGAACGCCTAATTGATGTCTGAATTATTAGGATATGGCTTTCTGCTGTTCTGCATATTTGGGCAACTCAGCTTCCATTCGCTGATGGCGCAGCATCGAGCACTGTAGGAAGTTCAGCAGTTCTGAATATTGTTCCGAGTGGCAGACCTCTGATAACGCAAATGTGTACATTGTATGCCGCAGGCCCATTTGGAAGGGGCGAAACTTCAACTTTGTCTTGGACAGATGCCGCATTAGCCACTCCTTGACATTATCGCCAGGGTAAAGGGTGCTCTTGTTGCCACAGACTTCTATCAAATCCTTTTTGCGTGGATAATATTCTCTTATCGGATTGGAGTCGACCAACACGCGGGGCAGTGTGTGAGCGGCTCTGGCCGCAAATCGTGTATCCAAAAACATGACTCCAAAGGTCGCTGCCCATGGATCGAAAACCCACTGACCATATTCATTCTGCTTTACCATTGGAATTTTGACGGTCAACTCTTTGGGTGGAGCGTACTGCACGCCAACGCCACCTCCTTCATCCCCGCCCTTGTCATCCTCTCCTTTACCATCAGCACCGCCTTTGCCTGCTCTCACGCTGACAGCACCTTCAAACAGTCGCAAGTCTGTCAGCATCGTACCATTTGTTACACTGGAATTAAGCGGTCGTCTGACGCTGGTATCGATGCTGGATGTGGCCCCCGCCTTGATCATATTTTGTATTTTCTTGTTTGGACTCTGATTCATCCATATTCCCCAGGCCTTATTGCTGGATCTTCCCCGAACTGTTGTAGTTTCCAGCGCATTCTTCTCCGCTGTTGTGCATCCCAAATGCTCACCGAACTGCTTAGTTGAGGACACTGGCATAGCCAGGAACTCTTTTACTCTTAAGCACTGTGGGGTTTGGGTTAATACGTTAAGATCAACACCGAATCTGGGGTGTAACTCACGACTACTGCTGCCAGAGCGAAAAATATTACACTGAATATGCCAATGTTGTGCATTTTATTCACTCAACGATGGGTTCACAGCCGATAGAATGTTAGAGTTTTTATTATATTTCCCTATTCTTATCCCTAGTATTATTGATGTGTTTTGTTTGGAACATGTACTATTTATAATAATGTGACACAAAACACTGACATAGGGGAAAATAAATCATATATGAATCTTCTGTAGAGGACAATCCTTTTAGTATTGTATGTTTTGAGTATATTCATAATTTGTACTACACCTTAGATTTACCCTGAAAAGTGCCTTAAAATTATGAATATATGCACAGAGCTTGCAATTTTTTATTATACTTATTTTACGTATAGACAGCTTTTAATGTTGAATAAATAAAGAAAATCTACATATTTCTGTACCTTTCCCTTTTCAATTGTTTAAGTAATACAATTAATGAACTATTATACATATTATGTGTGAATAAATATCTCACTTTTAATAATTGCCTGCTTTTCTCTTCATTTTAATGATATTTTTGCACTTTTAATGTTGAATAAATAAAGAAATGTGTAACATAATACTATAAATACTATCAAGCAAGTCATAATTATAAATAATAGATAATAAATATCCGCATTTTCGATTTAAAGTGAAATTAAAAAATATATTAAATTGTATGATTCATGACTATAAAGAAGTTCAAAATAATTATTTAAAGTGCCCTTTTCAATTATTTATATATAAACTATCATTTTAATCATGAATAAAGTTGAAGAAGTTTAATAATAAAGCAATTTATATTATAGCAATATATTTTTGGAGCTAACTTTTATTCATTGTCTCATAACCCCTGGTACCCCATACGCAAATGCAGCAACAATATCAAAATGAACATCATTTTGTTGTACGAGTAGCTACCATTTCAACAGGTGTGCACTTAAGCCACTTAAGCGTCTTCCATATCAAGGACGCTGCTGAGCAAAACTGCATTAAGCCCTTTTGTATTTGGTACAGTCACCACGGTGAGGCAGCAAACAGACTTCTGGAATTGCATGGGTGTCATGTCTAAGTACTTTATTCTGAGTATCACGAAATGTGCTTCCCTTCTCGATAACTGGCAAATTAACCAGACGGCGCGGCGATCCCTTCCTTTGTCTTGAGCGCCTCAACTAATTGCACTTCTGCGAATTTGTGCGCGACACAGCTGCGCGTTTTTCCCCCGGAGCCCCGAGCTGGACTCCGTTTATGGCCACGGATTAAGTTGCAAAATTTTCTCGAAGGTCGCCGAAGGTCGCGAGACGGCAGCAAATTCGCGGAAAAGCGAACAGTCCTTACACAGGTAACCGCCCGCCACCCACAGGTAGCAGATCGATACCGATGCCGGATCGATACGCGGACTATAAAAGATGCCATGTCCGGCAGATAGATCATCAGTTACCAACGCACCTTCAGCGTGTGAGGTGTTCAAAAGTGAAAGTAATTCGGAACTATTATACGATAAACTTTGTTCAGTTTTGCCAACTTGCCAGCAGCACTGGGTGAAGTTTGTCTTATAATCCACCAAAGTAGAAACAATCAGCGAATGCCGCAGCGCAAATTGTGAACAACTCCGACTCTGGCACCGATCTTGGGATGCATTTTGTACAGTTATGTCTTCGTGATCCTCATCACTGGGCAAAGTGTGTCTCAAGATTGCAGCCGCAACAACAAGTGCTACCAGAAAGTTTCAAAACAATGACGAAAAATGTGCCACGAGCTTAAAGAATTTTAAAATTAAATGGCGATTGTCGGTATGGTCGCTTGTTAACCCCAGGGCTTTCGTTCCAGCGAAGTGACTAGACCGAACACTCGTGCTATAATTTTAGAATGTTCAACATGCCCGCCGAAGCAGTGACTGAGAAGTGTATACTCCAAAGATTTGATACCTTCGGGTGGTTGCAATTAGTTTCTTTGGTCGTCCAGCCTTAGGTGATTTCTCTGATCATAAAGCTAGACAACCATTGAAGTTCGTTGTGGCATTTGCAGCACTCCCCAGCCCAAACCCCAGTGTCAAGTTTGTTCCCAGCATGCCAGGGGCCATACGCTAAAAGGAACGATCGTTGTGATATGCGTTAATCCACCGTTACATATCACAGTGATTTTCCTTTATAGCGCATGCTTTGCACCCAATTCAACAACCCAATACTCGCAGTCGTGTATCCATATCCCCCTGCCATTCTGATGCTCAGCCTTTGAAGTAGAGAGAATAGTTGCTGTGCTGTATGTCCTACCCAACTGTATATATCACAGTGGCTGTTCTTTTTGTACCTAAAGTGCCAAACAGCCAAGGAATTTCAGTGTTGTTTCAGTGTCTCGAGTGGAACACCCATCCATCCACATGCCGTGTACCCCAACCGCAGGGAACCGCTGCTGCTGATATATTATCCAACATCTTTGACATTTCTATATCACAGTGGCTGTTCTTTTTGGTTGCACGGCCAAGTTCAACGATTTGTCATCTACGCCCTGATGGAAACACAACACTAAACCCCCCACACCGAAAGTGCTCAATTGAAAATTGTTCAAAAAGAAGGGAACGGTTGCTGCTGATGTAGTTCAAGTTTCGCACAATTTATATCACAGTGGCTGTTCTTTTTTGTTTGTCAATCGATCGACGAAGCAAGAAATCACATTTTTTTAAATATAATAGAGTGTTTGTGGTCCAACCACCATAAATGGTGTAAATATATTCTTGATCAGCATTTATCATAAGGAAACATTTGTATGTTTGTATGAGCACCACGTGTGAATGTAGTGACGCGTCTCGACGCATCTCACAACGTTCCTTGCACTTTTTATTTATTTATTTAATAAGTTTTATACGTTTTGAAATACAAAATAAATGATGCAAGAAATCGAATTCGCTTCACAATCGTTTGTATCGGTGGCTGGATGGAAAGTTTTGAGCTTAAAATTATATTGGAAGATCTGAGATTGAGAGATTCTAGAAGTTTATTCTGAGTTTGGCATAGGCTCCACTTGAAACTCTTCTTAAAGGTTTTAAAAAGCTCCAACCTGACTTGCTGTCAGTGTGGGGTTAACTTGAGTTGCCTCAAGCTGCAAAATGTGCTCGATTGTGGTCAAATGTGTACATGCAAAGCGAAGCAACATGCAACATGGAAGCTCCGCTCTGATGGCGATGCTAATGTCATAAATGGTCTGCTGATTGGTTGACAGTGTGCCTGCAGCCTTGGTCCGTTGCAACCTGGTAACTTAATGCTCGTTAACGTTACTGAGCGGAAGTGAGCGAGTGAGAGCGAGCGGAAGTGAAAGTGCCGGAAATGCGCCTGAAATGTTCGAGCATGAAAGGCACAAAGAACTTTTTGTTTTGCATTGAATGGCATCGGTGGTCTCCATTATTCTATTATTATTTTCTAAACTGTCTTCTGTGTGTAGCGATACAAATAATTTTCAACGCGTATCTTGTCACGCAGCTCCTTGCGCGATGTCCGCTCCGTGGCTGCCGTCGTGCCATTGTGATCGTGGAAGAAGCTGCAACTGCGCGCCGGAACGAACTGCTTGATGTCGCGCAGCTTAATGCAACGCTCCACGACACCAAGGTCGCACTTACGGATCACAGCCTGTGTGGCATGCATGCACTTGCGGCACATGTCCTTGTCGCTGCTGAAACTGTGAAAGTAGTCGCCCAGCGGCCGCTCGCCACACACCGTGCACAGGGAGGTGTTGAAGGCGCTACAGAAGACGGCAACCGCTGGCCAAATGACACACCTGCTGCCAAATGCCATATCCACATTCCACGGGGGGTACTTCAAGTTGTACGGATAGGTGGAGGGCCTAAAAAATAGTCGAAAAGCCATTGGAATCCTCCATCTGCAGTTGTCATTGAAGCGCTTCTTACCCTGGAGTCACCCACTGGGGCTCATGGTGCAGCTGCTGCTTGTTGAAGGAATAAGCATGCTGTGTCCTCGTATACCTCTCATCATAGCTGCCCAGCGGTGGATAGCCCAAATCCCTGACCCCTGGCAAACGTGACGTCTTGCTGGCCAGCGCCGAGAAGCCACACTTCGAAGGGTACTAAAGTTAGGAAATAAATAAGAAATTCCCATTAAATCTTGTTTCCTCTTTGCTCACCTTGAAGCCAATTTCCTGGACACAATCATACGTAAATGGACTTGGGCCTGGCGGCGGCTCAACCTCTTTGTCGCCAATGAATGTGCCGCTGGGCGATCGCTTGATTTTTCGACCAAAGGCAACCGTTGGCGCTTCTGGCGGATTAACCACATACTCAAAGCCTGCAAGAAGGGAATGTCCATAAGTTTAATGATAAGTAATCTACGGAAGAGTCTGCACCTCGCTCCTTGCAACGCGCCATTATCAGTCGCGCCTCGGAGCGCTGGCGACGCAGCTGTTCCCGCTCCTGGGCGTTCGGCTTGCGGGCACGCATCAGAACTGGCAGTCGGCGCTAGACTAAAGACTGTTGGCCAATTGGCAAGCTGTCGATTCGTGACAGACACGCCACGCATTCCCACAACACGCACTCCCAGGGGTGGGTAGGTCCCAGGGCCCACCCATCGATAATCATCGCGTCGCGTAGCTGTTTGATATAAAATCAATATGAGCAAACCCGTCGACGGTTTGCCACGAAATCAGTTTTCCAGCCCGCAATATTTCTATATTTCTATTCAGTTTTCGGCGCGTAAATTGCTCTTGCCTGACTAACGGAAACTTTGACCCAGTTGGGGGAATACTTTTTGGTAGCTCTTTGAATGCCTCTGGCCATGCCACTGGGAGCTGACAGACAGCATGGAGCGGGGTTTTTCATTGGTAATGATAACAGCAGATGGAAAATATTCACTAGAGAAGGGGTACTGGGATACCAGAAGCCTCACACAGCTACACCAATCTAATTTGCCCAAAAAAAAACGATTCAAGTTTCGGTTATAAAGCGCTTTGGCTTTTTTTCTTTAAAGATTTGAAGTGTTCATTTTGCATTACACAACGCTGCCACACTTACCTTCCATTTATGAAAGTGCTTGCCACAATTTACGCTCAGAAACAACTTGAAATTTTGGCCCCAAACTGGATGAACTCTCTCCACGATGAACTCTGTCCAACTCTGAACAGAATCAAATATGAATGAAGTGTAGCCGGAAAAAGTCAACGTACAAAAATGAACTGCCTGCCCCAGCACCGATGTGACACATTAAGTTTCAGTTTTGGCATATTTTCAAAATACTTTCGAAAATACTTTCCAAAAATACCTTTTGGAAACATTTTAATAGCGCTTTCGATATGTAATGGCAATGGAATTTTTCGCTTTTCCTGTGCTCCTGTGCCGATGCTGGCATTTCAGCAATTTTCCAAGTGGTTTGGCCACCGACTTGGAGCTGCAGAATGGCTATCCCCTGCCTGGCATTAATGCCAGTTAACTCCCAACGTTGTGCCCCAGCCTCGTCGGCAGCTGCAATGGCTTTTGTGGCTTTCTTTTTTGGGGCAGGACCTGCATGCCAGACTGCAAGTCCTGGGAGACACGCACATGAATGCTAATGCCATTGAGGCAGGGACAGAGACAGAGACAGAGGCTCGGCATCGGTAATGGCAGTGGCAGTGGCAGTGGCAGTGGCAGTGGCAGCACGCACAAGTGCACAGCAGACGTCCTGCAGCCGTGGGACAGTGGAACCAAGCAACCATTTCGGGCTAACAAATAAAGATAGGACCCAAAGGATTTATCTAGGGCCACCGTGCACCACAGCAGCACGCAAGAAACTGCTTAATTCGTGCAAATAAAATGATTGTGCAACATATGTTGGGTGGGGGGCATGGACGGGCTGTGGGTCTATTATAATATGGCAAAAGCGTGCGGCCTCAAGCCACTCGAACAGCCGGTGGGTGCCGCAAACTTACAACGCAATTACAATGCAATTTACCATTATTTAGCGGGCTTTCTTCTGCCCCCAAATCGGGCAGCCAATATGTTAATGTCTGCAGCTGGTTACGAATGCTCAATGCGATGGTTAATTATGCCAACAATTACAGGGCACAGAAATGCAGGAAATTAAATTGAATTTAGAGAACGTAGACAGCAAGCAGCAATCCATTGCTCCTCGCTGCTCCCTCCTGCTATTGTTTCTCCCGTAAACACTCCTTGAACTTCCGTAAGCAAGTGCCATGTCCTACACAGACCATTACAGCGGCACAACATCCACTCCACTCCAACTGGAAATGCAAATAAAAATGCAACTCCAGTGGTCGGCTCTGGGTTCTCTTTACATTCGGCATGGACCAAGGACATGGCAGAAGTACTCCTGGCCAAAAAGAGGAGAACCCATAAACGTGCCATTCACATGCAAAGCGCAAAAACTTCTGAGACTGTGAGCCCATCTCCCCTGCCATGTCTCTCTTTCGCTTCGGAAGTGGCAGCATCCTGGTCAAAGCTCGAGTTCCCCTGTCTTCTGCTGGCAAAGCGAAAATTTGACTCACAATAAAAACAGCAGCAGGCCGGGAAAACAATGCCAGAAGCAGCAGCAGCAGCAGCAGCAGCAAAACAACAGTTTAAGTCCATTGCGGAGCGGAAGTGCCGCTTATTACGCAGGATGTGGTTAACCGGAAATGAAACGAAGCAAGCCAAGTGCGACAATAAACCATGGACACATCTACTCTCCTCTCCTGCTTGTTACCCATATATGCGGGTGCCTCTAAAACTAATTTAAGTTGGCTTTAAGCGCTCCAATTAGTGCCAGGAAAATGGCACCCAAAATCAACATTTTGTGCTGCAATTTTTAATTGTGTTCCTCTTGCCGTGTTGTGCAGTGTAACTTTGTGCATATTTCTGCTGCTTTTGTTGTATTCCTGCTGTGATGCCAGAATGCCAATCCGCAAATGGCCAACAAACTGAAGGCTGATGTTGATGTTGAAATCAAATTACAAGACTCTCTCTCGCTCTGCTCTCCATGACAAGAACTTTGTCCCCCTCATTAGCCACTTGCCGCTCTGACCCAAATGCAATGCGTCTACAATTTGTGCGGCAAGTGTGGCCTGGGTTAATCATGCTAATAAACACCAAAGTTGCACAGTCGTTGTTGCCGCCTGCCATTGCAATTGGCGCCCGGGCACAAAAACCATTGCATGCTTGTACTTACAGGGACTGGCCCACCCAGTGTCCATGCCACTGGACCAATATTAGTCCGTTGCTTTTTGCGGTTGTTGCGTGGCATTGGCCCACGTTCAAAGGGAAACCGATTGTGGAATTGTGGCGCTGGGGGTGCCTCTGGTACTGGGACTGGGACTGGGACTGGGGCAAAGCATACAAAATTGCAATGATTATGCACGCGCCTAGTTGGCACTCTATTGTGGTCAGGTTTCTCTGCTCATTTGTGTGCGGGGGCCCGAAGTGGCCCATTAATACATTGGTCCAATATGGCAGCAAGGAGAAATGTGGGCCGAGGCTGTAGTCCTTGTATAATGGCCAAAAGCAGCTGCTGCTGCCCGGTCAAGCAAATCGTTAAATATTCACATTCTTCGTAGCGAAATTTTGTGCAGCAAATTCTATTGATTTCGAGCTTGAGCTCGAGTCATTTCCACGAGCAGAATTTGTATGATCCATCCAATATATCACACAGGATGTGCCCCGGGGGCCAACGGAAATCCCAGGCACATTATCCAATGATTTACTGAAAGAGTAGGTCGGAGGTGAAACTTTCTTGACACTGTCAAATGCATGAGGCTCGAGGCCAGCTGGCCTTGCACAGGTCCTGGCCAAGTCCCGAGGCAGGTGAACACATGCTGACAGCAGGAAAGCAGGTCGGCTTGGCTGCCGTCTGCCGTCTGCCGTCTGCCGTCTCATCATTTTAGCTGTCACATTAAAAATGCATAAATGTTGCTTAAATGCAATCCAAGAAATGCAACTGGCCGTAATACGTGCAAAAATAGACATTGCCCCTTGTGGCAAGGGGGCTCGCGCGCGCCTCTCTCACCAATCTGAGAGAACGTGCTGGGGGCAGGGCAGGCCAGGGCAGCACACAATTTGTATTCTGTATCCTGGCTGGCATGTAAGATAGACAGAGACGCCTTTGGGCCCTTTGGCCTTGTCTTTGGCTTGTCTAAAGCTGCCTACGTTTCAGGTGCGAGGACTGCGATTGGGTATGGGTATGGGAATATGTTTCTGCTGCTCCTTCTCTGCTGATTGTCGTCCTGTTGATCTGTGTTTTCACTTAGATATTGGCCCGGGGGCTAGGCGATAACGCTACGTGTCCTCTGTCTGTGTGTGCTACAGGAAGTTTGTTTGTGGCCAACTTGGTGAGTGGCAATCGGGTTGCAGAAGGAAGTGGCATGTTGGTATGTTGGCATGATGGGAATGGAAATGGGAGCTGGAGTGCTGGAGTGCTGGAGCGTATGCTATGCTGGAGGATTGCCTGTGGAAAGTTCTGCCCAAGGCAGGGGAGCTACGAACAGGCCTCGTTGTTCGATATCCTAGTAAGCAATCGTTTCAAATTGAATTTTCTATTTACCGAGTAGTCGATGTACGGAGGAGTACTTGGCCAGCGTTTTTTGTTCGTTTCTTCGTTTGCTTTGCTAAAGTTTTCCCAGTCAAAAGTTAAGCCAAATGACTTTCGCTTAAATATGAATGCTGTCAGCCAGAATTGTATCGTTTTTAAATGGGTTTTCAAGTGCTTTTAGCCTCAGATTTTAAGAGTAGAAAGTCCGCAGAGTTCCCAACGAGAAGCCACGCCCAGTCGTCAACTGTCTGTCGAAGGTTGTCCCCGGGAGCTGCTGCAAATAGCATCGCACCAGGGATAGCGGACGTCCTTGGGCTGCCCCGCGTCCATCAGAGTCAACATTAGCAGCAACGCCAGGAAAAAACAATCCATTTGCTGCCAGTCAAATGCTGCCAGGTGTTTGTGTGTCCATTGCAAAACTTACCGCCGTCAGACTGGGCGGCAATGGCAACGTCAACGGCAACATCGGCGGTCCATTGGGTTTGTCTCCTTCTCCGGACAGATGCCTACATCAGCATCATGTGGTCGAGTTAGTTGGATCTTTCGGCATTAGCTACCGGCTCCAAACGCAGTTTGTACCGAAAATTGGTAGCAAATAGTGCAGCTAGCAATCGCGTTTGTTCCGGTGAGAGAAATCTTCAGAGATCTGGTTCAATTTTTTTTAGGTATTTCTGAAAAGCATCCACCAAACGATTACAGAAGAATCCATTAAGAAAATACATACATATTTACATGCATATGTACATCCATACTCATACATTTGTGTAAGAGCAAAATATCTGCACCGGTCTCTTCTCCCTTCATTCTATTATCTTTTGTCACTTTCTGTAAACTCTCGAGCTGCTTCCTCTCTACTCTTCTTCCTCATACCAACCCATGGCACAGCAATTTCCCCTTCTCGCCATTCACCGTTGCATTAACAAGTGGTGTAAGTAATGTTCGCTATCTTGGAGTAAGAGAGTGAGAAGAAAAAAGTCGAGGTCAAGCATGGAATATTCTAGAAACTTCTATGATCTGCTTATCTTCTTCTTTCCTCCTCCGACACATGACAAAACACAAGCAGAGCACTGCACCCCTCTCCCCGCACACCAATGCATTAACAAGTCCAATACAATTAAATGAACAGTGTGAGAGCGCATAAAATCTGCGTCGGCGGCTTAGTTTCTAGAACATTCCATCCTCTCTTTATAATCTGTGGTGCTTCCACCCCCCCTCTCCAAACACATGGCAGCCTTGATACTCAGATCTTACCCCTTTTCGACATTCACCGTTGCATTACCGCTCACTCATCAAATTTTCGATGTCGTGTTAAGAGAGAGGGGGGAACACGAAAGTCGAAGTCGAATGAGAGAGCAATTCGGAAGCGCATCAAAAGAGATCAAAGAATGGTTCTTTTTATTTTTCGGTCGGAACAAGCACGCGGTTTTAAGTCAGCTCCGCGTTTCGGATCGCGAAAATCGGGAAATGGATGAAAAATCTTACGGGAAAATTGTCGCGCAGTGATGTAGTGAAGTTTAGCAGTTGTGTAGTGAAGTGGTGCAGTGCTGTGTAAAGTGGTGTAGTGAAGTGATTTAGTGAAACGTGAAGTGCAGTGAATCATAAGAAAAAGGCGCAAAGAAAAGGCGTTACTGATCCAGAGAGTAACGTCGGCAAAATGGCATAGCGGCGAAGGCAAAATAATGAATTCAAGTGAAAATTGAAAAGGTTATTGTACATTTGATGTACAAAATCTGCATGAGAATATTTTTCTATGCAGAAATATTTTTGTTGTTTGTCTGCCACGTGATCTTTGCCAATGTGTGTACGTGTGTGCTGTGTGCGCAAAAAATTCGGCGCAGAGTTGAAAGCAAAGAGGAGAAAAGCAATAAGGAGGGTACCATCTGGCGATCTGTCTGTCTCTCTCGTTAGTGTGACAATACGAAATTAATCCCGTTATGCCTCACCTTATATAAATCTACCCAAAATATGTGCTCTTATTGAAATGTGCCTGGAATTGTTTCTATACCTTTGGTTGTGTTCGTATTCGTTCCGTAATCGCTCTCTCGAAAATCGTCGCGCGCTTACGTAGACTGACGGAATCGACGACCACTCGTGTGTTAGGGAGAGGATCAGCCAATGCTGCTAACGAAAACGTAACGGCCTAATAATGTTGCCCAAAAGGTAAGAGAAACCAGAAACATTTACGTTTTGTTTATTCTCGGTACTCGAAGAGTATTTATACATGTACATATGTATTTACATGTATGTGTATGTATGAATGTATGTATGTTGCATGCATACGACTGCTTACCGGGTATAAAATTAGTTCCTCCTTGCAAACATTGATACCAGTAGAATGTTACATATTTTATTTTAATGCTGGGCGGGCATATCGGTTAATTTACGTTTTAATTCTAGAAAAAAATTGAAAATATTGAAAATTTTTAAATAAATCACCATCATACATAAATGAAACACTGGAAGCCAAATATCTCTTCCCCTCTCAGCTGCACTCCGACGCTTTTTAACCTCATTGTTTGGCTGTGGAATGATTGATGCTTCAGTTGATTGATGCCTCCTTGGGGCAGCACAAACAAAATGTGCGCTTGTTTGTGTGGGCACCACTTGCTGGCAGCTTGATGTTTAAAACTTTCGCGACAGACACTACACGGGGGGGCAGCATTCCCCAACGAAAAGTATTATTAATATCTGATGGCAGTGTCGCTCAATTTAAAATATTGCTAGCATACACATTCATGAACTTGAGTAATTTTGAACAAACAACTTTTGAAATGACTTAATCGCAAAGTTCTGCTCTTCACTGGCAACTTCTTGAAAGTGAATGCGGAAAGGGAAGCGGAACATAAATTCTGTTTATTATAAAACAACCCGTGGCATACTTTTGTGCGCAATTTAAAGTGCAAATATGAAGGGTAAACGGTGACACCTTGGAGCCTGCTGGCTCCTGCTGCTTCACTTCCCTTTACCCAGCCACACGCATTTCATTAAAGCGCAATGAAGACATTTTCCCGGGGAGTCTGTGTTTGTGTGTCTCGTATGTTTTTCCTTTGGTGGTGCGTGGAGGAAAAGCTGTTAAAAAATATTTGAAACACTTGAATGTTTCCCCACTGACACTAGGCTGGGGCAGGGACGGGACGTGTAGGCCGACGCCATTTTGTCGAGCCTTGGGAACTCCCACATAAAGCACAATAAATATAATTTATGAGCCTTGCGATAAGAACACCCACACACACACTCACACACATTTTAGAAATGCAGCCTCAAATACATTTAAATACATCTACATACATATGTACATACATATGTATCTACATATATTTTTGTATATCTACATAATATCTAGCATAATATTTAAAGCTGGGGCATCGTGCAGCAGACCACTGGATTCCTGCACAATATTCTGTATAGTTTGCTAAATAAGTCTCAGTTGAAGCACCTGCCCGCCCTGCACATAATATGTAATATATGAAAATATTTGTGTTTGTCGGATAAAGGGGGAGACGCCAGCCGCTGTTTACTTTTTTAATGTTAACCTAATTATGTGATTAATATGCAGAATGTGCGCAGAGATTAAAGCGATGAGCTCACGCTGTGTTTAATTACCGAATTAAATTTTTGTTGGTCGCCTGCCCTGGCCGACAGCCATTTTTGGTTGACAGTTTAAGTCCTGCCAAAGTTGGGCCAAACTGATGGACCCATTTTTTCAGCAGCATCCACTTAAGCTGTAGGTATATCCCCCGCGCATCATTAATCAGCTGTCAGCTGCAAAATAACAATTTCCGCCCAGGACACTGACAATCGCTTGTTTACACATGTTCCCCACGAAATGCATTTGTCTGTAGCACAAGTAATTGTCTATACTGGATACAAGAAACGAGCGATGATTTACGATCAATTAATCTCCGACCTAAATGCCATGCCTTTGCATCAATTAGAATGGAGCTGCTTTGTTTGGCTACAATTTGAATTGAATAGAGAAAGGTAACACACACCTAAGACTCGAGCCAATTCTCCTTGTAAATGTTTTAATAGATACACTTGCCCTATTCCACATTGAAATGTATTTTGTTTCACTTGACCCTCATCTCTATCTCTCCTCACCCATCCTTGAAAATTGTCTGATAATTCGATTGGGAACATTTTGAAGTTCGGCTCACAATTAATTTACTGCTCGTACACTCTATGCAATACATTGGGTTACGTTTATTGTCAAATACATTTGTGTAGGCAGTGAACAGATTAAGTACTCTTGGGCGTTGCTCAGCTTTGCATTACTTTGTATCTTACGATTGCAAAAAACTGTAACCCCTTCGCCCCAAGTCCTGGCCATTATTTTGCAAAAAGTAACAGTCGAAGTGGAAGGATATGCACAAGGAATGAGAGTGCATAAGCCATCTTACGGCCCTAAAAGCTACTCAACGATTGCCATTTTTTGCTGGCTTCAAGGAGCTAATTGATGAAAGCTGCAAATGGAGGCAGTTGGGGTACACTCTAAGTGACAGTCAGAGAGAGAGAGAGAGACACACGAAAAGACATGGCAGCTGTACTGGGAAAATCTTTCTGGGCAGCACTTAGGCACAATTAAAGGTGTTGCTAAACTGCAGCCATTTATGTACAGGGGATGCAGAGAGTGCCTCGAGCGAGAGAAAGGAAAAGTGCTTGCGGCTGGAATGGTGCTTTGAAAATTAGAATTAATCTTTTTCCGCTGAGTCTACACAATTTCAAGTTGGTTGCGCGAAAAATGCATGCGCTGGTCAACAGCCTTGGAGAGTGTGGCTGGCTGCAGCTGTTACAGCGCCTCCTCCTCTGGTTCTGTGGGTCTGTGCGTGTTTGGCACCTTTTTGGTTGTCTTGATGCTGAGCCAGCATTATGCCGTAGTGCAGCTACTGCAGCTGCAGCAGCACTGATAATAAATTCATGATGAAGAGTAATTTATACACTTCATATGCGGATGCAGCACTCGACTCCACCCCATCTTCTTCCATGGCCATTCTGCTGAGCTTGACAGAGAGATCCTGCCCTAGAATAAGGTACTCCACCACAGCTTTTGGTAGTCGATCCAGCCATGCATTAAGCCTTGAACTATTTATCCAAAAACTAATTACAAAGCCGCACTGCCTTGCCGTGCCTTGCCTTGGCTCCTTCAAAAAGTTGTTGCCAGCGGGAGTCAGACTAAAAGAAAGCAGCGGCAAGTGGCAAGCTCCTGTCCACTCGCTGTCCGCTGCCCGCTGTCAGCTGGCTGCAATTTAATTTCAAATTAATCTAATTTTTTTGCCCTACCCACGTCCTTTTTTTGGGGAAGTTCTGGCTTGTGGCATTCCATCTAATGAGAAATGCTGATTTTGCACTCTGCACGACGTTGCATACAAATGAGACTGAGCGAGAGCGAAGGGCTCTCACCGAAGTGCTTCTGGCATATCGTTTCCCTGGTCCTCTTCGCATAATTAGTGGCCAGGTGGCTCGGCCATTGATTGGTTACGCACAGCAATTGGACGCCCAAAAGTGCTCTGCTAATGACTCAATGGGAAGCCACTCGAAATTGGAGCATCTAGCCAAGGCTGCTTTCTGGCTAAGATTGCCATGGAAATGTGCGGTAAATATTTGGGGTTTCTGTAAGGGAAACCTGTGCAAAAAAGAAAAGGAATTCATTTACCCCAAAAAGTGTACGAAAATCTCTTTTAGAAAGTTTCTACAAAATGCCACAAACATTGCCATTAAAATATATGAGTTTTTCGGAGCATATTTTCCATAACCCAGGGGCTGATGTAAGCAGAAATTATATTTACAGAAATGTTTTCAGCAACAATTAAACAGAAGTAAATTTAAATTAATGCAAAACTATTTTGGTTTAACTTTGATGTACTTTTATCTTTTGTCTAAACAAAGGAAATTAAGCAAACTTTAAGCTGAAGTATTCCAAATTGAAACATGGATATTCCCACACTTTAAACCTGAAATAAACTGGCAACCAGAACACCAAATGTCGATTCTATTCATTTAAATATCCATGCTTATGTGTGCACTTGTGATTAAAGTTGGTTTGGTCATTATCCGGGCTGTTGGTCACTTGGTTAGAGCTCTTTAGCACCTCGAAAGGTGACACAAAAGGTTCATCTATTTGCATGTGTTGCAGGTGCAACAGTTTAGGTACAGAGATACGACGTAATATCAAGCTAAAATCTATTCTAAATGCAAGAACGTAAAGAGAAAAAGAGTGGCGCAGAACCCAGCACAAAGTTCTCTCTGTTTCTTTAAGTAATGCCCTCACAGCCAGCCGGCAGTTCAGTTGTTGTCCTACCTTCGAGAAGAGCAGACAGTCTGCCCAGCAGCAGTGACTTCAATCAATAGAACTGGTTTGTGGCCCATCGAAATTGGCAATTGAAAATGTTGCTCGTGCCGCTGCTTACACTGATCGCAGTGCTTCGGCTGACCCAAACGCTGCCACTCGATGATGCGGAGTCGTCATTGTCACCGGTTACAAGCGAATTGCCGGATGGCAGCGGGCGGGTGGTCTTCGATCAGCGGCAGACGGGCAAGTACAACATACACGTTAGCATCAAGGATGTCGCCATCATCGAGGTGGGTCAGAACGATCTGACAGATGTAAGTAGACGGAGTGCAGTGGAGTGGGGTGGGGGGAGTCCAGAACCAGTTGGGCAAATGCTAAAAATAAACTGCATTCACGTTAGGGCGCGTATAACGATGCGGAGGATTACTACTACGATGACAGTGCGTTGACCATCAAACCCATCAAGTTCTCGACTGAGGCCATTGGCAGTAGCACCAGCAGCAGCAGCAGCAGCATCAGTACCACAGCAGCAGCTGCAACAACATCCACAGAGCACCATATTCACAGCAGCACCACAGAGCCGTCAACTGGCACTACCTTAAAGGAATCCACGATGGCAACTGTGGCACCTTCATTGAGCAGCTTAAATGGCAGCTCAGCTTACAGCTCGAATCTCTTGGCGGATATCGCCGCCAGCAGGATCAGGCCCAAGTCCAGGCTCAACAATCTCATGATTGTGGAGACACCAATTGGCGGCGCACGAGCCGCAGCTGTGCCACACCTGCCACATCCCAGATCCAAGGATATTCCCATTATGGCTGCCGCTGCAGTGACACGACCCTCGCAGCCGCAAGCCATTGAGTACACGCCCCCTCAAGGTCACAACTCGCCCATATTCAAGGTGAAAGTTCAACGATCTGCATTGGCGCCCAACAAGAAGCCCGCCGCCCGCTGTCGCTCGCATCAGACACGAAATGCCCAGGGCAAATGTGGCGACTCGATCTAGTAAGCCATTGACATTGAATCTCCCAGCCAAGCGGCTTATATCCCCATCCTCTGATGCTTTTTCCACACTTTCTTATTCTTTTTTGTTTTTTGCTTTTCGACAGCCGTCGTCTGTACAGCATGCTGATGGGTCTCAATATTCCGGGTCTGGTGGGTACACCACCCCACGCTGCCGCTACCGCTGTTGATGCTGCCTAATGCGATCACCCTGAAACGCTTTTTAACTTACCATTTCAATGTAGTTTACACTGTCAAACATAGACGTTAAGTGCCACTAAATTGTATCTGCTTGAGCAGAGCTCTTCTGAAAAATATTATTATTGGAACCAAGTATATTAGCGCTTGGGTAGTTCTGGAGCAAGAGAGGCCAGAAAATAATGCGAATGACAATGCGGAAAACTGTCAGAATTGCACGAGCCAAAAGAAGCGGAAAAACTTTAATTGGGCATAAAAGAAAAATTAACCATCAGTCCATGACATAAACTTGTCTTTATGTCCACACGGATCGTTGATCTGCCAGTAAGAATTTTTATTTGAGTTATAAAAGAAATAATCAAAAGCAATCATCAATTATATGGGCATGACTCTCGCCTTTAATATTGATTCCATATTCCGCGTACACTTTAATTTAAGACCACATTATGGCTCCTCTCGGGTGTAACCAAGTTTGCCACAACTGGCCAGTTTATGTTGATTTTTTGTTTCGCGAGAATTCTGATTATTTTCCATGCCATGTGGCAACGGTGATTTTCCAGGCTTTCAATTTGTGTGTTTCTTCCCCTTTCCATGCACCATCCGTTGCAGTTTAAATCACTTTCAATGTTGTCTGTCAAAGTGAATTCGAGTTTACATTTACCATTTATACTTTTTAAATGCAATTAATAGTGTTGATGTGCAATTGGTGTTTTCGCCTGTCGGATGGCAAATGATTGAATTGGAATTTACAACGGATCTACTTTCGATTTGGCCTTGGAAAGAATTCAGGGAGAGCCCGTCTCTATGCGAGAGCACTCAATTTGTGTTGGTAACTTTCGAGCAAGTGCAACTGCAACACGGTGGCAACACTCGCATGGGATGCAGTAACTGGGATGCGCCCGAGCTGAGTTTGTGCCCACATGCCCATCTATAATTAAATTAATTGCTTCATTTCAAGTTAATTTGCCACATGTGGCACGTTGTCCGTGTGCAGCAGCTGCTCTGTGCATCTCTCCTGTACATTTCCCATATATTTTGGTTTATTCCCATAGCAACCGAATTCTGGGCTTTAAATCGAATTGCGGCTTAATGCAAACGGTCGATGGCTGCCGATAGCTGGAAACCCCGAGTGTAGACTCTGATTTGGAGCAAGGAAAGTGCACTTTCATTTAATCTAGAGCACAGTTTGATTAAACACAAGCAGCCTTGTGCTTTGTATAACGAAGATAACTTTATTTAATTGACAACAGCTGTTCATGCAACCCATGCCTGCGATGGCCCAGCATCTCTCCGGCTTTGGCTCTGTCTGAGACATCTTTTTGGCCAAGTTTTCCTTCACTAATTACCTACATTAGGAAACCTGCACAGACTCGGCGCACACTCAATTAGCAGAACACAGTAAACTGCACTTTGCATGCAGGCGAAACAATTCCACAACTGCTCCTGCTCCGTTTCCGTTTCCGTTCTGCATTATTTATGCCATCCGTTGACCTTCCTCCTGGAGGAGCGCTTTAAATGCAATCTTTTGTCGAATTAAAGCCACACGATAGAGGCCAGCAACAGCAGGGCGTAGGGGAAGCGAAAGTGTTGCGGCTGACTGGAATTGCCGTTGTTTCCAAAACGCCAACATCAACACCCAAACCAAAAACCCATTTTAACTTTGCCGCTCCGAGTGGCGCAACAATTGCAGTTTATTTATTGCATAACTGGAGGCGTTTATGCGTCGAAAAAACATGCAGCAGGAGCGGGAGTTGCATGTTGCTGCCCCGACTACACACTCCGGTGTGTGCGCCACTCACTATCTGCGCAGACATTTCGCAATGAAAAAAAGCATGGGGAACACACAAGCGCCCCCACCTGTTGTTGTGTTGCCAGAACTCTAGGACCTGGTCCATCGTCCAGCGCACACAGATCTTGACTATGCAGGACTATGCCATTAAACGCAAGTGTCGCAGGGATTATTCATGGCTGGAGCATGAAGATGAAGCGGCAGTCGGGTTGCAAGTGACAGCAGAGCGGATAGAAAGGCATGAGACAGCCAGGAAAGCCAAACCAAACCAAAAGGAAGCAAGTACGATAGGAAGTGGAAGATGCAAATTCTCGACTTGGTTACGCAAATTGTTCGCCCAATTTAATGGTTAATAAGCTTATTAAACTTTAGTTACAATGCATCTACCCTCTTAGACAATTTTGTTTATTCTCTGGTGCCATTCAAAAATGCGTTTTAATTTGGTAAAATATTATGACAAGACTTATTTAACTTTGATAACAATTTAATGGGTGATTGGGGATTAGGCGTTGCAATTGCCTAATTTCTTGAGGTCATTCTTCATTGGGAGATTTGACTTGGACTCCTCTTTAGGGGCGGCAATGTCCTTCTTATAGAAGTTCTTCTCAGCCAAGTTCTTAGAGATAGACTGCTGGGAGGCAATTTTCACAGCGACTTTATTCGGGAACTCCAACTTCTTGGCAACATTCTTCACAGGTAACTGCCCCTTATCCTTCATCTCAGTATTCTCAGTAATTTTCTTCGCGATGACTTTCACAGTTGGGCTTTTAACTTCAGTATTTTTTGTGGCTTGATTCTTCTTTCCAGAGAACTTCTCTTCAGCGTGCTGCTCAGGCTTCTTCTCGTTGGAAACTTTCTTCTCTGGCAACTTAAAACTCTTCCACTCAGTGCCAGTATTCTTTGTAGTCTTCTGCTCATTCAACTTCTCCCCAGAGACCTCCTTTGCAGTCTTCACTACCATAGCAAACGACTTTCCAGTGATCTTTTCCTTTAAAACTTTCTGCTCAGGCAATTTTTCGTCTGAGTCAGGCTCCGTAGCAATCTCATCTTCAAGATTCTGTAGCTCTGCATCCGTTTCTTCAGTGTCTTTATTTTCAACCTCCTCTTCAGATCGATCGTCTGTCTCTAAAAACTCCTGCTGCTCCTCATCAGACTCCTCTTCGGGCTCGAAGGAATTCTCAGGCTCTTTCTTCTTGGGATCCTCCACCTGGAGCTTCTTGGCCATGTCACGCTTGTGCCAATCCTTCACATACTGACTGTTGATATTGGCCACGTTCTTTAAGTAGCTCACGTGATCCACGTCGCTGTCCAGAGACAAAATTTCGCCGTACAGACTGCTCATTTTCAGATTGTAGCGCTCGAGGGCCGTGGGCACATCGTACTCATTCACCTCGGTCTCATCGAGAAACTTTACCAGCACCGGCGTCTTCATGTTCACATAGACGACGGTGGCATCTGGCTTCTTCAGCTGCCGCTGCAGCTCCAGCATATCCTCCTTGACCTGATGCAGCGTTGCTGTCTTTGCCTTCACCTGTTCCTTCAGCAGTTTGATGACGTCCTGGCACTGCTTGGCCTGGTTCTCGAAGCGAGCTGCTAGCTTCTTGATATCGCCATCAAAGTTCAAAGGATCGGCCATGAATTTCGTGATATTATTGATGCGCTTCACATCGGGCAGGGCCAGCGATTCGGTTCTGTACTTAGCTGAGATCAAATCCGCAGTGTCCAACAGACTAGAGGTTGCCATAATGGAAATAAACAATTTTATGCTCGTCTCGTATTGAGCAGAAGCCGTACAGTTGTGCGGGGAAAACTGATAGATGAATACTGTAATACTTTGATGTCAGTGAGTGCTTTGTTGGCAACAGTTTATTTTATTTATTGTCTAGGATCAGTAAAGTTTCATTTTTCATTTTGCACACTCGATTCTTACAGCTGTAATCAAATAAATTTGATTTAATTTTTGCACATTTACTGGCTTTTTCATACCATTTCCGTTTCCAATAGGATTGGCTTCACTTTCATTTGATTTGCTCACTTTATTTTTTGGGATTTTCTCGCTCTATTTTCCGTGCTGTTTTTGCAGCGCATTTTCCGAATTTGATATGCACTAAAAGTCAATTTATTCAGTTGACTTCATTTGATTTCAGCCTTCAATTCGTTGAATTTACTCTTTGTTTTGGGGTCTTTCTACTCTAACAACTGTGTGGGGAAACTGCCTTTTGCTGCTCCATTTGTACGCTAGAATCTGGCCCCAATTAGTGCTGGGTCATTTTTCGAGCTGGCTTATTTGGGATCTACTTTGCTGTTACTGCACCCAAGCTTCAGCTATGCCAGAGACTTGCTTGCTTTCCTGTTGGCGCAGTGCAACCTCAGCTACGGCATTGTTAGCCTGGATTCAATTTCGATTCCCAATATGCTACACATAAGCAGAGCAGACACCAGACGCAGGAGCTGGAGCAAGGGCACGACCACGGCTCTATGTCGAGTCGGACGGTAATCGTACGTGTGGAAAAGACTTCGGCACTGATTGCTGCATAAATGATTGAGCATGTGCGGCTGTGTGTCTGTCTGTGGGTGAGAGAGAGAGAGAGAGAGTGAGTGAGTGAGTGGGGCAGGAGTGCGAGTGACTCTAGCAGTGGCAGAGCAATGGAATTACTTGCCGCAGTCGATTCCCAGTTCCTATCAGCATTCATCCATGCAACAGGGTTAACACAGAGAGAGAGAGAGAAGCCGTTCGTTGCATTCATATGAAAATTGATGGAAATGCCAAAATATTTTAAATCTAATTTTGTGGCAGCCAGAGGCAGACACACACACACACACAGCACTCCATTCGAGTGTGATTTTTGTCTATTTTGTAACTCAATTGATGTCAAGAATTGAAATATTTTCACGCTGAAAACAATACATTTTCCCCGCATCAAAAATCAATCGATCGCCAGGCAAAATGGAAACGACATTTTGTAAAAGCGAAAAAGCGAAACCCAAATAATTTTATTAATTTACTGCACAAAGTTTATTGTTTTAAATGCTTATGGATATGCAATGGCATTGCGAATATTTTCCGCTCATTGATTTCCCATTTTGTGAAGGTCTTTGGCAAATGCGAACATTAATATTCTGAATGTTGTTTTCTTGTGCATTCTGGAATGTCTTTTCTTATAGTTTTGTCTCCTAAATGGCGCACAAAATAGAATTTAAATAGCAGAAAATTGTCTGCCCATCACCCATCGCTGCACCTCTTCCCCGTTCATTTTCACAGCACCTCCTGCACCCCGGTCCGTCCCAGCGACATAACCAATTCCAACGTCATTTCACATTTGCTATTTCCGTTCTTCTCCACGGCCCGTGTTGCTGTGTTGGCATTTCATTTAGTGCACAACTTCACATTTGCCTCAGCCGTTGTCTTTCCCACTCTCTCTCTCTCAAGTTTTTTTTTTTGCCGCTCCGTCATTGCAATTGCCATTTCCGCTTCCTGAAATTTGCCATTCCTTACACACAGAAGAGGACAACAATACACGGACACACAGCAGGAGGGCGGGCAGCATCAGCAGGAAGAGCGAGGCAGAGACTGAAACCGAAACCGAAACAGAGGCAGCAATAAGACAGGAGGCAGGAGGAGCTTCAGGAGAAGGGACAGGACAGAAGACAGAAGCTGAAGGCGAGGCCGTTTCCCGCCTGCACCGACATTTTCATTTCCATGCTTGGGCGCATCGCAGCGAATCAATTATTCATCATCATCGATTAAGTAACAGGAGGCTTTCGCCCTTCGTAGAGCCATGCCCCATGAACAGCAGCACCAGCACCAGCACCATCCTCTGCCACAGCGCCAGCACAATTTGCAGCCCCCGACCGATCCCTGGTGCTGCTGGTCGTGTCACACTTTTATTGTTATGATTTCTGCCTTCGGTAATGGGCACACTTGAAGGACTCCACCGCCTACAGCCAGGAGCCGCAGCAGAGACAATAAGTGGACATGCTGGCTGGCTGGCTGGCTGGCTGGCTGGCGGGGATTGCTCCATTTCGCGTGGTATGTCCAGTAATTGTAAATACAATGGGCATATTCTGTTCATTATTCATTGAGTGGCAACTGAACAAATGTCAAGGATATTTCCGTGTGCATTTTCCTTTCCTTTGCCTTCTGAAATTGATTGCTTCGGGGAATGCCAACTGCAGAGGGTATCCCCACAGTTGTTACCCTGATTCCTGCTGAAGTGTCGGTTTTTGTGTAATTTTAATGAGAAGCGCTGGGGTCCTGGGCGCACCGAAACTAAAAGCTGAGATTCATACACCCATATCCAGGCATGCCGATGCGAATATAGCCACGAATGGATGTGTGTGTGTGTGTGTGTGTGGCGTATGGAAGAGAGAGTCATATATCTGCAGAAACATAACAATACTCGTACATCGTACATCGCGGAGGGAGATGTGAATGGTGGAGGGATGGCAGAGAGCGAACACATGTACAGTCAGTCGTCCTGTGTGCCGGTTGTCCTGCCTGTCCTGCCTGCTTTGTGCCCCGGCTTCTTGTGCTTATTTTCGCCATTATCCATTAAACATTTATGAAAATTGCTTTTGCTGCAGTTTTATTCACTTTTCCAGCTTCTACACTTTGCATGTGGGGAAACCCAATCTGCCCCCCCCCACCCTCCCGACCAACTCAGCATCCCCCATCGGGCTGGGGAGCAGGAAGAGCAGTAAAACAATAAAGCTTAAGATTCCAATTTCCTTAGAGCTTAAAGCTGACTCTTGGCTTTTGCTTGGCTCTTCGTCTCCTCCGCTGGTCTTTTCCTTTTCACATAAATCTTTGGGCAAGACATGTGCCTAGATAATCCAGCATTATGAACAAAAATCTGGCAACAATAAATAAATATATGCGAATATGCGCATCAATGGCGGCCAATTTTAATAGCCGACTTGTTCAACGAGCTGCAAGGCTTTCCCATAATGAAATATGGCTCAAACCGAAATCTCAAGGGAAGCGGCGGCAGCTTCCTTTAGCTACTGTCTATAGATTAATGATAAGTACAAATACTAAATTCAGAACTAGGAGTAGTATCCAAGATGATGCACTTTCCCTTGGCAATTTGCCTCCACCTGAATGCTTAGCTCATCAACCGACAGACAGCCTGCCACTTGACACACAGCATCGACGTGACTCCTGCTGCTGGCACACACACACGCTTCTGCTATCTAAATTTCAATTAGAGTTTAAACCACCCAACGGAACGTACTGAATTGAGTTAAGCGGCACCGTGAGCGGGGCTTGCCTTAGATAGGACACGGCACCCACGACCCGTGTGCCAGGGCCAAGGGTAAGCCCTCACTCCCCTCATTAGTTGCATGTTCATGTGCGGCAACATTTTTCTTGTGCTTAAATCATTCGGAGATTGCAGCAGTGAAAGGAACTGGGCGTGTGGCTGTATGGCTGGAGCACCTCCCACTATTACTCATCGCTCACCCCCCAACCGCTGCTCAAACAAACAAGCAAAAAAACCAGCGGTTCGTTGGAGCCCTTCATATATTTACAATATTCTCGTACATATTCTTGTGCAGTTTTTGTTGTTTGCTCGCGCGTTCCTGGGGAAACGGCGCATCATAAATTTGTTGGGTGGGATTTCGGTCTGGGGTTCAGTTCGGGGGCTTCTTCTCTGAGTAACGATACTTAATAAACCCGCATCATTTTCCCATTTTGCACTCGCACTTCATGCCTTCCGATGCTTTCCCACCGCAGCGGCACATCCTCTTCCTGTTGTTGTTGCCACCAAATTACCTGTCATTTCGAAATTATGATACCAAGGAATCGCTGCTGGGCTATACTCTGAGTGGAGGTGTGCCCTGCCGTTGCTTTCCGGACTTTGGGAACAATTTTTATGTTTATGGGCTAAGAGCGAGTCCTAATTTTATTTTGTCAGCTCTGCCACACACACTCACACTCACACTCAATCACTCGTCGTATCTCAAACTAATGCCAACGCCGAACAGAATGTAAAACCTTATGAGCATTTTCCGATTGTAATCTGTGAGAGGGGAAGCAAGCGGGAAGCCTGCTCAAGGCATCCTGAAGCCTGTCATCAGGCCTCCTCCTACATGCATGCGTTTTTTCTGGTATTTTTTGTTTGCTTTTCAAACTTGACAGCCCCATCATTTCCCCTTCGAATTGGACATTATGCCATTGGCATTGAGAGGGACGAAGGACTATTATGGGATTTACTCGTTGTCCGAAAGCCGACAGTTGATGTTTTGATTTGTGTAATTCAGAGAAGGGAAGAGATAGATGAGAGAAGAGCACCACAGATTACCGAATACAAATCGAAAATTTACCAAAAATGTGCAGAAAAATGTGGCTATGTATGTATGTGATGTATAAGTAGAAGTTCAGTCAGTTTGTAGGCTCCTCGACCGGGGAATTGAATCACAGAATTATATGGTAACCACACAACAGGAGTTGGGACACAAACACAAACAAATTAAGCAAGTAAACGTCCACTGATTCAACAAATTAGAGTCCAAGCTCAAGGTTTCAGCAAACCAATCTAATAAGTCTGCAGCATAGATCCCGAAGAACCGGGCAAGCAGTCACCCGTATGCGCTCAAAGACGAGCAAATTGCATGAGGATCCGATCTAAGAACTTCCTCTACACAAGTCAAGGGCAAAGGAACCACCTGTGGTTTTGTGCAGATAATTCCAATTGGGTTTGACATCTAGACCGCCTTAACTTGCTACCCGAAGAACCCCCGCATCAAGAGCGGAGTGTGGAAATTGTCTGGACAATGTACAGCCAAATGTTTCAATTATGTCAAGTTATTTTTGTTCGTCAAGCCTACCGCCATTTAGTCAGCTGAGCAGAGGCCACAGACAGTGGCGACTAATGACGAGGAATCCAATGCCATATAGACGCTCCGCCATCATTTGATGATGAGTTTCAGCTGTGTCCTCTCAGAGACAAATTGCCAGCAGCCATAAGCCTAATGACCAAAAGTAGATATAGATGTTCAGGTAATAAAAACAAGATTGCATATTTCTGGAATACTCACTCAGATCGTACGCTGTGCTCCGAAATAATTATTATTTTTGTGTGACACAAATTTCTGGTGCAAGGCTTTGCTCGTGTTTTTACAGCTGTAGTATAAAATTGGGTGGAATTTAATGACACAAAAACTTGCCCCCGAAATGTTTTAGAATTTGATTTACATATTTCAGAAATTCAAAAGCACATCAAGTGGGTCAAGCATGCCGCTGACAGACTGACAGAGAGACAGAGAGACGTGAAGAGGTGTTGACTTATTTGCTAGCTTGTTAATTAGCCAAAATAAATTTTATTCACAATTAATCTACGCTAACTTATGAGACAGAATAAAATACAAAATAAAAGCCAAAAGATTGCTTTGCTGCTTTCACTTCACGGAGCTGCTGAAGTTTTTCTCATTACTCAGGCAATTATTGCAAATGGTGCAAAAGATTTGCTGTGAAACGCAAATGAATCAATTGAAATGTTTTGGAGAGGGTTTTGTTTTACTTACTGGAAGAGAGGAGCGTGTGCCGCCGCCAGCCTGCGAGGAGCCGGTGCCCTCGAAGGTGCGCAGCCAGGATTTGATCACATTCGTGGGCGGTGTCTGGTAAATGCTAAACTGTTTCTTGAACAGCCTCTGGGCGGCGCTGATGGAGTCGTTGCTCTTGTAGTAGGCGCGTATGATGAACGCCCGGTGTACACCCGTCCACTGGTCCATTTCGACTGTAAATGCAAAATGCCAAACGTAAAATGCAAAATGCAAAACGCAAGCTGCAATCGGCAAATATGAAATCTGCGCCATCCGGCGCCATCTGTTCTCTCTCCAACCATGTGTCTGCCATGTGTCGCTGACCACACACAAAAACTGCTGCTGGCAGCACTTCCGGCTCATGGTTGACATAAAAAACGCTCTCTCATTAATACAAGCAAAAGTGTAAAAAAAGAATCCATATATATTCATAATTATATTCGCATGTACTATGTACTATAAGTATGTACTTATGTACGAGTGCCAGCAGATCTAATTGGTCGTGTAGTGTGGTGGAGGTTGGGGGCATGAGTCGGCGTACAGCTAAAATTATCCACGACACGGATGACGCGGCGTATGAGCAATTGGAAATTCTTATTTGCTTGTCGCAAAATAGTTTTTCTTTTTTTTGTGAGGGAGGCTGCGAGCCTCATTTAAGTTTCAAGTGCAAACTTTTCTTGGCTTCTGCCACTGATTTCTACGCCACTGCCTTTGTGCATCAATCAATCAATCAATCAGGCGTGAGCATCATCATTATGCTTCATCAGCGCCACCTCCCTACCGCCAAGGCCTCAAAGTCATCAAGAAAGGGCGTGAGTTTGGGCGGGCCTGGAATTGTTGCGCAAACCCCAAATCCACTTGAAGCCATTTAAAGTTTTGCTTCGAGTTGAATCCTCTCTGTGATTTGGCAAGTTGACAAAGTCTTTAAGCCATTCACCAGTTACACAAGATACACTACCCACCAAGCGGTAGATATTCAATTTATAGTGGAAAATGCACAGCAAATTCTTGTTTTATTTTCACAGGATATGTACGCACTCCTCTGCTCCACTGGAATCGAATCGCTATGTGCCAGACATTCTCTTTTGTTTCCATCGATTCCTATTGTTTCAGGAGAGTGTATTCAGGTTGTTCCATTTGGAAAACGATTCGTATTCTGTTTTGCCGATTTTGTTTTAGAGATTTTTTGTCTCCATTTTGCTGGACCATCGGGCACGTAACTGCAATACAATGCACGGCCATCGAATAGATGGATACAGATACATTTATGTAGTATCCGTTTGCTTTTGTTGCTCTTGTCGCTTTCGCGTCGTTGTCGTTGCAGCAAAGTTAGCAAATGTTGCTGTCGCTTTGCCGTTTACCCGTGGAGCTGCCACGCCAGCTAGTGGGCGGCAGGCAGAGAGACAGAAGTGTGGAGCTGTGTGGAGAGACAGGAGGCTGGCTGAACTGGCAGGAAGGCAGTCATCCATCCATCGCATGTCCAGCCAGAGTCAACTCTCCGCTTGAGTGTTTCTCTCTCTCTGTGTGTGTGTGTGTGTGGAGGGGCATTGGTTTTTTTTGTTGCTTTTTTAGCTGTCTCTGCTTGTCATTTTGACACCTTCATTTGCTCCGAACATTCAGCTCCAGTTCAGTAGAAGCGGGAGCAGTGATTCTGTTTGCTTTCGTAACTTTTTTATCCGCCCCTCGACGTATCTCTGTGTGAAATTCGAGAGCAACATTTTTGGTGAAAATTCGTTGTTTAAGGGAAAATTCGAATCAAAGAAAAATAGATTTAGGCAATGAATTAATAATATTATTCGTGAATTAAAGAGAGGATATGCCAGCATATTCCCTTGCATTTATTCCACCCATTTCCCATTTACCAGTACAACCATGGAATAATCCTCTAAGAACCTGCTAAGACTGCTTCCAGTCGTACATAGTTTTTTCTTCTTTTGTTCAAGCTTTGGACGGGCCCCCGTCTGACCCGCCTCCCCTTTAAGCCCGCTTCTTTGGGCTGCCAAGATATTGTAGAAAAATGCCCGAAAAACGAAATCTGGCCAGGACACACAAAAAAAAGCAACAATGCCAAGACAAATGATCCAATGACTGCGTCTCACTGCACTTTGGCCCACATCAGCCAGAAATACAAGGGGGAAAAAACCTAAGAAGGAAAATGGCCCGTAGCTGTCTCAATTTTTGGATGGCCGAGCAGTTTTTTTTTTTTTGTTATATGTAAAGTTGGGGTGGAGTCACCCCTTAAACACTTTTTGCCACTGCGGATGCTGACGATGATGACAAAGGGCAAGCTCTGAAGTAGGTCAAGACTTTGTTGCTTATCTTTCTTGGTAGCTTTTTGTGGAGAGCGGAAAAGTGGATTCCCATACATATCTTGGAGCATTCTTCAGCTGGGAAATTAGCAGGGAACTCATATTAAATTTTGCATTGCAAAATGCTCCATGGAAGGTCAGGCCTATGGGGGGTAGGGTGTGGGTGCGCACACGCCACTCAAGCCGGACGCCAACATAAGCGATTCACTTTCCGGCAGGGCCGCAGATAAACATACACCAACACACAGATACACAGATGCAGTGGTGGGGGCGGAATTCAAGGAGTGGGCATGGTTGTAAATCTGTGCTAAACAGGATGGCAGGCTCCGGCAGCTGCAGCACAGCGCATAGCGCAACGGAAGCGGATGTGGATGGGGATGGGGATGGGGATGGGAATCGAGGATGAAGATGAGGATGCCGCTGCATGAGGCAAGGAGCATGGCACGCGCGGATGCTAGGCGTTGATAGCGGCAGCTTATCAGCTTCGTTAGAGCCAAGACCAAGAACAAGAGTCAGTAGCCAGGAGCCAGGAGCAGCAGCTACCGCCTGCATCCTCCTGCTGGAGGCACACATTGCGTGTGCGGGCATTAAAGGAGCAAAAGGAGCATTAGATTAAAGCGTCAGAGTGGAGTGGAGGGGAATGGAGGGCAGTGTCTTGGAAAGTCAAGTGAAAGTTGTTGGCAAGGACGCAGCCACGTACTTAGCTGCCTCTTAAATGGTGTTACCTCACTTTCAAGGCGTTTCTTTAAAGCGTAAGTCGGGCATTTCAGCCATTCAATAAGAACTCCCGGAAAGGCGAGCATACCTGTACACCTGCACTTGTTTATATTTTAATGGCTTAGTGTTTACAGTTTTCAGTTCAATTCAATTATAAAGAGTGCATTTAAACCACAGCCAAATGCATTTGAAAGTTTCGTAAATCTAAAAGGTGTTGGGCTATGTCAGAAAGTAACATTTCTACAACATTTTTACATAAATTCCACATTAAAATTACATACTAAAAGCATGCCACGAAATTCTGAAACAACTTGCAATGGCCAAAAAGTGTTGCATACTTTTTTGTGGAACCTACATATGTACCTGACAAAAATGTTCGAATGTGGAGAATTTTACTGGCATTTAATTACCAGTGTTGTCACCTGCTCTCAGGTCGTCCTTTCACTGACCCATTGTTTCGATGAACGTTGTTTGTACATGTTCAAAATATATTTACATACATGATCTGCTTTGTGTGCTACTCCATTTCCAGGCTTAACTTTCCAGGCTCAGCTTTGCAGGCACATGGAGATTTCTTGGATTTTTCTGGTGTAAGCCGCATCAGTGAGGGAGGGTGGTGGTGGGTTGAAGCATCGACAAGTTGAGACCCACGCACCCCGGCCATATGGCCATATCCATATTTTATGGTTCAAACAATGCCCAGGAGTTGGGCCCAAGGTCCTCGGGATTAAACTGCAGTAGGCGCCGATGCCAGTTTCCACCACACCCACACACTCGCACATAGATTAAATAGTTTATGTTGTTTGCCTGGCAGCTTGTTGCCGCTGCTGCACTGCACTTTGACATTAAGCGAATCGCCCCGTACACGGACACGGACGCGTTCCAGACCACGTAGTGGACATTGGCAAAGAGCAGCGCAGAGCTCGGCGGTATTCATGTGTGTCTTGTGAATGGTGGGTGGGATAGAAAGGGGGGGTGGAGTAGGTGCTGCAGGTCCCGATATTTGTTTGTCCTTGTGCAGTCTTTAATGTTTGGTCTCCAGAATCAAAGCGGCCTTCCAGCGGCTGCTGTTAAACATCACAGCCCGCAGCTACCAATGTTCATATGTACATATGTACATTTAGTCTGATTAGCTAATATGTGTGTATAGCTATGTACATACCGAAATATTTACCCCATACTTTAACATCTGTACATCCCAAGCTATGGTGTTGAAACTGGAAAAGTAATGTATCAGGCCAACAGCAAGAGCATAACAGCGTTCAAAACGTAAGCGACACTTTCGTTGGGTGCTCAGCAGGGCGAACAACAGCGAGAGAAAGTGAGCGCTGCTGAGCCCGGCTCTCTTAATTGACAGTGCGGGAAATTCTCTTTCTTGCCTCGCAATCTTATAAGTTCTCCAGGAGGTAAAAGCTTAATTGTTAATTTTTATTATCAACAGATAGGGGCACAAAAATGTCATGCGATCTTTGCTGGAAACCCTTCCAAACCCAGTCACAACAACAGGCAGTTTGATAACCCTTGAACCACTGTGCGCTGTTCAGAGTCGAATTTGAATTTTTCAGCGTCGTTCTCATTACAACATCCAGAGAGAGAGTGAGAGAGAGAGCGAGAGAGCACGAGAGCGTAAATAACATTGTTGCTCTCTTGCCACTTATCTCGCTCTCCCTCTCACACACGCGATGTTGTAGCTTTGTTGCTCTCTCTCTTTGGGTGAGTGCGGATGTGTATCTGTGTGTGGTGCGCGTGTCTGTAAAGAGCGCATGTTACAGGCGCACTTGCTGACATGATGCAATTGTACAAGGTGGTTTCGCCGCTTGCCGAATCGTCGGACTTCGGTCTATTGTTTTTCAATGCTTGATTGTTAACGTGACAGGTGCGGACGAATTTTTTCCCAAATATAAACCCTAAAGCGCAGGGAAAATGACTTTTTATAGAATTAAGAGCCTAAGCAAAACATAAAAACACTAAAAAACCAAAATAACAACTACTTTCAAGTACTAACCTATTAAAAAACAAATTAAAAAATCAAACATCAACTCCTTTTCTTGCAAAGGTCATCACACTATACTGTCGTTTCAGTCACACTTACCACGCAGAACCCCTCGCATTTACTAACAGAGTGGATAGTTGACTACTTTTTGCCGACGAGACCACCTTGTACAGTTGCAACATGCTTGCTGCTACTTTTTCGCTGTTTCTGCTGCTGCGGGGCAGCGCACTCTTAAACTCACTTCTGTGGCGCACGGTTTAACGGTTAATTTGCTCTCAGCGAACGACGGTCGTCACCAAAGAAAAGCGTACTGAAAATCATCGCTGTGCCGCCTTCCATTCTCCGCATTGTAAGCGCTACGAGACAGTGTGCAGTGTGTTATTGTGTGCCAGTGAGTGTTGGTGTGTTGTGCAGTTTGCATACACACAGATACGGATTTAAATTAAATACTTTGGCTTAATTAAATACTTCCGCGGCATCCATCGTCGTTGCTGTGTCGCTGTCGGCGTTGTCTACGGTTATCGATTCTCGTTGTCCCGCTCACACGCACGCACGTTTGTTCTTGTTTGTTGTGTCTCGCCGCAGTCATCGTCGCCGTCGAAGTCTCAGCGTCGCCGTCGCGTTTTGTCAGTGTGTTTGTGTATGTGTGAAAAAGGGCCGCTGCTGCAGAGGAAGCAACAAAAGAAGGAGACTGTGGAAAATAGTAAATAAACCAGGTGCCGCCGCTTGAGGACAGGTGCAAAGAGCATATCACAACAGCCAGCAAAGGTAAAGCAGCCAAAGAGGAAAAGCAGTTGGGCGCTGCATAACGGTGAAAGTGATTTTTCGCAATAAGTGCAAGAGTGTGCGTGTGTGTATGTGTGTGAACAGTTTTTCCCCATTTGCTTTGGCCTCGCCGTTCGCGCTGGGAGAACAAGCAACAACAAATGTTGAATAAGAAGAAGCAGAAGCAGCAGAACACTGGTAGCCGGAAGATTTTTCTGCGAATTGCCACCCACGAAACAACGCCACAAAAAGGGCCAGAAGTTACTCTTCTCGCGACGGCGCATTGATTGGCTCTCTTTCTCTCTCACTTTTTGTTCTCTGTGGCACGCAGAAAGGTAGTATAAACAGGCGCGTGGCAGCAGAAAAAGTAGTAGATTGCAGTTTTCGAGTTTTGAAATGCAGCCACGCGTTGCTTTGCTTCCTCTCTTTTTCTCTGTGGTGTGGTGGTGATGATTGCTTGCTCTCGGTGGCTCTCTGACCACCTTGCAACCCCTAAACACTGTGCGGTGCGCTCTCTCGCTGCGTTCCTTACCTGTGAGTGCGCCGTCTCTGTCTGTCGCTGTCGCTGGCCTTCGTGTCCCCGCGCGATGCTCGTCTCGTGTCTTGGCTGTGTTTTTGGCTCTCAGACTTTCATTCTTGCATTCGACTGACAACAGAGCCTAACGGTACAAATATTCACTCTGTTCGTCCGTTCGAACTTCTGTTTTTCTGCCGTGTGTCCGTGCCTGCGTGCGTGCGTGCCAGTGTGAGTGGTGTTTTGGCACTTTGCGAAATACTTATCGAATATTTTGCAGTGTAGGAAAAGCGTACTGCAGGCGCATTGGCAACACTACCACCCCACCGCAGCCCTCGTCCCGAGCAGTCTCTGCGGCAACCCAGCAGAACTGTCAAAAGCAGAAAACAGAACGGCACAGAAGCCCATTCGC